AACATTTTGAGACATTCACACTTTTTGGTCTTAGAACTCCTTACAGTCTTTGGGACTTCCCTGGTGGTACAGTGGTTAAGACTCTGCGCTCCCAATGCAGGGGGCTCAAGTTCGATCTCTGGTAAGGGAACTAAAGATCCTGCATGCCGCAACTAAAGATCCCGCACGCTGCAATGAAGATCCCTGCAACAAAGATCCTGCGTGTGGCAACTAAGGCCCGGCACAGCCAAAAAAAAAAAAAAAATAGTCCTTAACAGTCTTAAAAATCAGGACCTCAAGGGTTTTTGTTGTTGTTTTTTGCTTTTTTAAAAAAATCTAGGTTATGTGTATCAATGTTTACTACATTAAAATTTAAAACTGAGAAATTTTTAAAATATTGTTTTAAAGTGACAAACCCATTACATGTTAGCATAAGTATTTTATGAAAAATAACTACACTTTCCAAAATATATTTAGTGAGAAGAGTGGCAGTGTTTTGTTTTTGCAAATCTCTTTAATGTTTGGCTTAATAGAAAACAGCTGGATTCTCTTCTGTGTTTCTGCTTCAATCTGTTGTAATGTTTAGTTGAAGCATATGAAGAAAATATGGCTTCACACAGATATGCAGTTGAAAAAGGAAGAAATAATTTAATAGGTTTTTCAGATAATTGTAGTTTTCCTTGATACTATACTCAAACTTGGTAAGTGGTAGTTTCTTAGAAGGTTAGTTGTAATGTAGAATCTGAAACCACACCAAGAAACTTCCATTTTCTGTTACACTAAATTTCACTGCCCTGTCTCACACTTTGAGTGGATTCCTTACCCAAGCAAGACCTTATAATATTGTGCATGACTCATTTGGAAAATATTGATTCCTTGAGTTATGCAGACCTTCCAAGTGTTGACACATTTCACTATATACCATAAAAAATAGTATTCATTAATATCACCACTGATATCAAAGTCTTTTAAGTATAGGGAATTGTCAAGCTCACAATGATGGGTTCAAGTTTAGTCAAATTCTAATTTTTCATGTAAAAACTCAGGTTTCATCATTGGCAGCAGATACTGTCACTTGTTTTCCTTCAAGCGACAAGCTTGCTTTGTTCATTTTTGAGAAAATATCTGCCAAATACCCAAGACTAAGTAACTGGTCTGTCAGTTGTTCTTTCAAGTATAAATATTTTTTCCATGAAAAAAATGGCTAGTTCAGTTTGCAACAAGGACTTTTCTTTAATACAACCACTGAACTTCAGTATACAGCAGAATTGTACTATGCTTAACTCACATTCTGTCACAGGAAATATTAAAAAGATGTGTACTCTGGGTCAAGATTTACTAAAATTAATACTTTTTGCTGAATCATTGATACTCCTATGTCTTTTTTGTTTTGTTTCTAGTGTGTGGGGCAGTGAAGAGTATGATTGATAGTTGATGCCATGAACTTGATTCATACTAAGGCATCCACAATTTAACCTAACATTCTTTTTTCCATCATCACTGCAAGTGTCAACACAGTGAAACAGGCAATTTCACAAGTGGCTTTTACCTCATCCATCTTCTGAAAGCATCTCAGGGGAACTGAGGGGTTTGTGGGCCACACTATAAGAACAACTGGCCTAAGAGAATTATTGAGGTTTTGTGTCATCCATCCATCCATCATTTGTTAAAGGCCTATTCTGACCAGGTATCATAAAAAAATGAGTAATCTCTTCCCCGCAAAACAGCACAGTTGAGGGCAAAATACAAACACGTAAAATAATTATAATCTAGCGGAGGATGTATATCAGGAGAAAGCCCTGGGGAAGTCTTGAAAGACTCTTTATAGGAACCTTGACTTAGGTGCAGAGCTCAACAGGCTCTGTGAAGAGGTCATGCCCTTCAACTTTAATTCAGAATTTTTTGATTAGCTCTTGAATTCACAAAGTGGCAACAGACTCTCACAGCAAATATTTCAATTGAATTTTCTGAATTCTTACTACGTTATGTGACCCCAAGAAAGGGATAAAGAAGAAAGGGACAATGACCAGCCTTCAGGAAGATTCTTTAGCAACAACCAAACCTGGAACAACTCAGCTGCCAGATTTAGTCAGACTGGTCCCTTTCACAAGCAGAAGCATAGAAACAAAAGAGCCTCCCTAGAGGACAGGAGGTTGGGTGAGCCCCTTTCAAGGCCTGCCTGTTTTCTGCCTACTCTGATGGTTAGACTCGGGGGGTGGGGGTGGGTAGCCTTCATTGTTTAAAATTATGACATAATTAAAAATATGTAGTAAAGTAGCAATTACGGGGGAGGGGGGCTGTAGTTCTTTAAGAAACTGATAGAATTAAAGAGCATCCTTTCTGAAGTCAGAGTGGGAGGTGAGTTCAGAGGCAGGAAGATGGGGTTTTCATTTTTCTTCCCAAATTGGTATAAAGTAGCAATGTCAACAAATCACTGAGAAATATCGCTATACCTGGCCTCTGTTCTATCCTGTTTGGGTCAGTTGCACCACCTGACGCTCTGTTACCCAAGCCCAAAATATGTATATTAGACTCGTCCTTCTCCCCCATACTTCCCATTCAACTAGTTTACAAACTCTTACAAGCTCTTCCTTCTTAACCTTTCCTCTATTTCTTGAGCCTTCCCATCCCCTTTTGTTACCACCTTAATTCAGGGCGTCATCTCCTTTCACTTCAAGAATTCTAAGGCTCCTTCTCATGCCACTGGAATCACCTTTGTAACACTCAAACCTGGTAACGCTTCCCTGCTTAAAATGGTGGGATGATTCCCACAGCCTGAAAGAAAAGGAACAAACTCCTTAGCTTGGAAAGTGAATCTGGTCCCTGCCTAAATGTTCAGCTTCGAAATACAGTGCCTCCACAAACTTTTTTGAACAAGTGAGATCAGGCTCTTTCCCACTTAAGAGTTCCTTTGCTCACGTGCCTCTGTCTGAAAGGCCCTTCGCTCTCTCTACCTGGTGAATCTTACTTAACACAACCTAAGTATTCTCTCCCAATTAGAAAATACTGCTGTCTCTCACCACAACCTGGTATATAGTTCCATCACAGGAGTTACAGCAAATATCCAACTTACTGTTAACAAGTCTCTCTCCCCCTACTAGATGGTAAGATCCTTGAGGTAGGAATCATTTCTGAATTATTTGCACAACCTCAGCTTATCAGACATTAATTAGATGTCCCCTTCCCTCCCCCCCCGAGTTCCTATTGAGCCCTGAAGTCCTGTTACATGTCTCCCTCATGAAAGACACAAGTGACTGGACAAATTAAGGTCCTTGGACCAAAGGATGGCAGTCCAAAGGTACGAAGGAGAGAGAGGAGCAATCACAGTGAAGAGTAAGAGTGACACTCATGGGGGACACTGGAACAATGACCCTGAGTTCCTGCTGCTGGGGTGCCAAGAGCTGCTGGATCCCGCCCCACTTCTTCCAAGAGTTGGTTATCAGCTCTTCTTGGTTTCACTAATTCATTATACTCCCATTTTCTAGATTAAAAAGTACTTCAGCGCTACTATTCTCATCTCTCTTTTTAAACACACTCTTTTCCTTGCATTGATTCATGAATTTATGATTGTAAGAAAGATAGTAAGCTCATATTAGGCAGGCTCCCATCTTAAATTTCAAGATGAGGAATAGAGCATTTTTCTATATAGTCACTAGGTATTTAGTTTTTTGTTTTTTAATTTACTTATTTGGTTCTGTTAGGTCTCCGTTGCTGTGCGCGGGCTCCCTCTAGCTGCGGCGAGCGGGGGCTACTCCTCGCTGTGGTGCGTGGGCCTCCCATTGCGGAGCACGGGCTCCAGGCACACAGGCTTCAGTAGCTGTGGCGCACGGGTTTCAGTAGTTGTGGCTCGCGGGCTCTAAAGCACAGGCTCAGTAGTTGAAGCCCAGTTTTTTTTTAATTACAAGGAAAAATCCAAGACCCTAGCTCCAACAAACAAGCAAATAAACAACCTGTTCTGAATAACTTGCAACAGTTTTCAATTGGATAAATGAGTATGTTAGCAATCACATCACTCTTACAGGGCCATAAGCTACTGCACCTTTAAAAGCTCTGATTTTTTGAAAAATTGGATGTTGTACAAAAGTATCTTCTAGGACTAGGATTGCTCTGCAGGCTTGGGAGACAGCAGTTGGATGCTGTGGGATTTTAACAGCAATAGATTAGACCTAAGAACCTGGAGAGAAAAAAATAGGTGGTACTAAAACATTTACTTATTTTCTGTCTGTGAACTTATTCCCAAGTATTTAATAATATCTTACAATTTTATATGTCGATTGTATCTCAATAAAACTGAAATTTAAAAAAGGAAAGAAATAATTGCCTACTCCAAGTCATGAAAACATTCTCCTTTATTCTCTTCTAAATGCTTTACAGTTTTAGAGCTTTCACTTTTAGGCCTAAGATTCAACTCTAATTATTTTTTGTACATGGTGTGAAGCAGGGATCAATGTTTTCCTTTTTCCATAGGGACCAAAATCCATTAAAATTTTACTTTTGGGGACTTCCCTGGTGGTCTAGTGGTTAAGAATCCGCCTTCCAATGCAGGGGACATGGGTTCGATCCCTGGTCAGGGAACTAAGATCCCACGTACCACGGGGCAACTAAGCCCGTGCACTGCAACTACTGAGCCCACGCGCCACAACTAGAGAGCCTGTTTGCCACAACTAATGAGCCTGTGTTCTCTGGAGCCTGCACGCCACAACTAAAGAAGCCTGCGTGCTGCAACAAAGAGCCCACGCACCGTAACGAAAGATCCTGCATGCTGCAATGAAGATTCTGCATGCCGTAACTAAGACCCGACGCAGCCAAATAAATAAATATTTTTTTAAAAATTTACTTTTCAACAGAATACATTTTATAATTCTCTTATGTAATTTTTATTCCTGAGAACACTTTAAAATATAGCTTTAAATCTTAATCTAAATGACACTTAGTTGATAAATTTCTCAATATAAAGGCATTTTGCCTTAAGACTAATACTTTAAAAAATATTATTAAGGATAAAGTAGTAAAGTTAATCTTCTGGACAAATGAATTTGATTTCAAACTTAATTAAAATGCAATTCATTTATAAATTCAGCTCTCTTTGTAAAAGCAAAGCATGGTCATTTTAGAACATTTATAATGTAAACATTACTTTTTACTATAATTTTAAGAGTTATTTGTTGCAATTATTAACATTTTATAATTATGAAATTGCATCTTTTGCTGTTGGCAAACAATCATAGAAAGTGAAGTTTTAGGTGTTGACAAATAGCACCACATTCAGTTGTAGCTAAAATTTTAAGTGGAAATATGATCATTTTCTTGAAGTATTTATATGTATACAATGTTCATGTTATATGTCTTACTGCTATCTATCTACAATGGATATGATCACATGATAAGTCTAAAAGAAGGGAACTATCTGTTGAGCACTTGCTATGTGATGAGCATTGAGCTACAAGCTTCCATTGCATGAATCTCGCTTAACCTTCACAACAACCCTACAAGAGAAGCTTCATCCTCTGCGCCCCTCCCCCATTTTATAGATGAAGAAATCAAGACTCAATGAGGTTAAATATTTCCCCAAATCTATGGCTATTAAGGGACAGAGGTGGTGCTGTAAGGGAAGTCTATCTGAATTCAAAACCCAAGCTCTTTTCTCTACATCACACTACTTTATTCACTGGGAGAAAATGGTTGATAAAAGATAAATTACATATCTTAGGACATTCATTGGTAAATTACTTTCAATAAATCAAAGAAGCAACATGTTTTTCTGAATATCTTGCTCAGGACTACGCCAGGCACTGTAAATACAATTAAGAGTGCTCTCTTACCACAAAGCACTTTATAATCTAGCTGAGGAGACATAACTACTATGTATGACACAACTAGTGAAAAATATTAGTTGAAATTAACTGTTAAAGTAAGATCTGGAGACTACAGATGGTGTAGCTGTTTTTGAAATGAAGGACTGTGTTGATGACACTGAATTAACTTTTAGAGTGGGACCACGTTAGGAAGGGTCTTGCAAGAATAAAATTCAATGAAGTTGAATTTAAGAATCCCCTAGAGATTTTTGATTTGACATAAAGAAAGAGGTGTTTTTTAAAAGTTTTTTTTTTTTTTCCAGCAGAAATATTCAGGGTATCTTTGAGAAGAGTATGAGGAATGAAGTCATGAGGAACCAGTTTTTGAAATTCTAGTAGTAGAACAAGGGCCTGAACCAAGGTGATGTTGGTGAGAAACTTGAAGATCAAATGATATATTACCAGGATTAAAATTCTGCTCTCCAATAGTATTTTGCTCACTCTAGATATTATGATCAAAATAAAGAATACAAAAAACATATACGGCTGTCGGCATACTCCCCCAAATATGGAAGTTCTAGATACATCTAATTTTAATCCGTATTGTTTCTGGTAAAGAGACTTGATCTTGTTATAAGAAAGCTGCTCATCCCTGTGAAAGTTAAAAACATTTTTAAAGCCCTCTTACTCTTCTGTAGTCTCTGAATAACTAGTTCTCCAGGAAAAAGGAAAGAGGATGGCATATTTTTATGAACTCTCTATAATGCTAGTGCCAACAAAATGTGATTTAATAGCTGTATGACATGTGGATTCTTTCAATTATCTTCAGTATACCAAAATTTTTTTATAAAGAGTTTTAAAGATTCATTTTCCTAAAGTATTGTTATACTAGCCCAATGCAATTTCTTCTTTCCAAATCTTTTAGGTAAGTACAGTATTATAAGGACATAAGCCTAACAGAGTAAGCACTCAGTAAATGTTTTTTGACTGGATAAACTGGAACATAAATCAATCATCATAATTTATATGGTAACCAATGCAGACCAAAGCAAAGAAGGATTATGAAACCAAAACATGAAATAATTTAGCAGAATTTTCATCTTAGAGATTGATTTTTATTCCAATGGCTTGTTTAAATTCATGGTTTTGTGGTTCCAAGATGTCATAGAAAACTCTTTTTTTGTCAAAATGGCCTCTAATAAAAAGTAAATCTTCAGTGGAATAGCTATCGTTTTTTCCAGTCCAAACAGTCAGGCTGTACCTGCATTAAAATAAAACAGAATTATATAGTTAAAAGAGAAAGATAAGAAACAGTGATGAAGAATTCCAATAACCCCAAAAACAGTTACTCTCATTTGTCTCTAACCCAAATTCACACAGAAGAAAAAATTAATTAGCACTGGTGGAACTATATTTTCCTGTTTCATTCCTTCATCAACATCAAAGGGACTAGAGAGAATAAAATTCACACTGCTGTTGCCTAAATTAGGTCCCGCTGTATCTGAATTAATGTTAAATGGCTTTAGAAACCCAGACTGGTAGCACTGGAAATGGGCCCAATTTTGGACAAAAGAACTGAGGAGATTGTGTTGCTGATCAAGGAATCTGTTCCCTACACAAAAACCACAGCTCTAACCTGGTTTCTTCAGTAGCCAGGCCACAGTCGAAAGCACGACTGGAAGGGACAGTGAAGAGACACAAATGTCACTGACGTTCCCAACATTCATATTCACTTATAAGTGGCCCCGCTATCCCTTCCGGGGGTTTTCTGTATGAGATACAAGAATGCCAAGAGATGTCACTAAGAATACCAAACAGAATAAACCTAGATGTATTTCTGGAGTTAAAAAACAATAATAATATATGAAGATTTATTATGGATATAAGAATATGCTCAGAATTGTAATGCTAATTAAATCGTATATTTTCATTTCTCCTGTGACATTACTATTACATTACTCTTAGTAGAGTTTAGAGAAATGCGAAGCTGTTAAGTATTTTCATATTTATTTTCCTCATAAACTTGTCAGAATCCAGGGAAAATCTCCAAAGCAGTTCTTCTGCTAATGATAAGAAACAGTCTAAACAATGTATATATTCTTGGTATACTGACACATTACTGTCCTTAAGGAAATGTAACAAAGTACTTTGGATTTTGTTCCATAGTAGTATTATGTGACAAACTAAAAAGAATTTTAAACTACAGTAGGGAACACAGAAAAAAAAATGAGAATTACTTTAAAAACTTATATTTTTGCTAAAATGGCGTTTTTATTACTTTATTGAGCACCACGGTGACAAACGTTATAAAAAGACAGATATGAATTTAGGTTAAAAGAAGTTATTCATTTTATTTCCAGTGTTATTTTGCCTCTTTTAATCCTCCCGCTACTGTATTTAAACTAAAAGTAGGAAAAATAAAATTGACTAAGAGTATTTTAAATGCATTCATTCAAATCAATTCTCAGATTTCATTTTTAAAGCTCTTTTCATTGTGATGTAACATGTATAGGAAAAGATGCATAAAACATAAATGTTTTAACAAATTATTATAAAATGAACTCCAGTGTAACAAAACACAAATCAAGAAAAAACACTGCCAGCACCTCAGGAGACACCTGTATATCACTGCCCTATCACAACCTCGCCTTTCCCCCAGAGTCCTCACAACCTTGTCTTTTGGGTTGCCATCTTCTTGCTTTATTTACCACCTGTATACCCATCCTAGACAATACAGTTTAATTTTTGCCTGTTAATGAATTTTACATAAATGGAATCATACAGGATATAATTTTTTTGGTCTTGCTTCTTTTGCTGAATATTGTTTGTGACATTTATCCAACTTAAAACAGGTAGCTGGTTTATGCATTTTCTTTGGGAAACAGTTTAGCAGTATCTACTAAAGCTGAAAGTATGAATATCCTATGACCTAGAAATTCTATTTCTAGAAATTCCTTTCTGATATAACCTTTATAAATGCAGGCACATTTGTACCAGGATGTGTGTGTGTGTGTGTGTGTGTGTGTGTGTGTTCACATTTATATATATGAATGTTCACAGCAGCAATCTTTGCAATAGCCAAAACCATGAAATAATCCAAATGTCATTCAATGATAGAATAAACTCTGAATGATGTTGAATGTTTTGCCTGTGTTCTCTTCTAGGAGATTTATGGTGTTATGTTTTATATTTAAGTCTTTAAGCCATTTTGAGTTTATTTTTGTGTATGGTGTGAGGGTGTATTCTAAATTCATTGATTTGCATGTGGCTGTCCAACTTTCCCAACACTGCTTGCTGAAGAGACTGTATTTTCCCTATTGTATATTCTTGCTTCCTTTGTCAAGGATTAACTGACCTTAGGCGTGTGGGTTTATTTCTGGGCTCTCTATTCTGTCCCAATGATCTGTATGTCTGTTTTTGTGCTAACACCACACTATTTTGACTACTGTAGCTTTGCAGTATTGTCTGAAGCCTGGGAGTGTTATGCCTCCTGCTTTGTTCTTTTTCCTCAGGATTTCTTTGGCAATTCTGGGTCTTTTAATTGTTCTAGTTCTGTGAAAAAATGCCATGGGTAATTTGATAGGAATTGTATTAAATCTGTAGATTGTTTTGGGTAGTATGGCCATTTTAATAATGTTAATCCTTCTAATCCAAAAGCATGGGGTATCTTTCCATTTCTTTGAATCATCTTCAATTTCCTTTATTAATGGTAAACAACAAAGCTTTAATGTAATATATTACTAGAGAAATTTTCATAACATTGGGGATGGGAAAGAATTCTTAAACAAGACACAAAAATCACTAGCCGTGAAGGATATGTTCGAGTAATTTGAACACATTAAAATTCAGAAATTCCTTCCATCAAAAGACACCATGAACACTCTTGCACTGCTGGTGGGAATGTGAATTGGTTCAGCCACTATGGAGAACAGTATGGAGGTTCCTTAAAAAACTACAAATAGAACTACCATATGACCCAGCAATCCCACTACTGGGCATAGACCCTGAGAAAACCAAAATTCAAAAAGAGTCATGTACCAAAATGTTCATTGCAGCTCTATTTACAATAGCCCAGAGATGGAAACAACCTAAGTGCCCATCATCGGATGAATGGATAAAGAAGATGTGGCACATATATACAATGGAATATTACTCAGCCTTAAAAAGAAACGAAATTGAGTTATTTGTAATGAGATGGATAGACCTAGAGTCTGTCATACAGAGTGAAGTAAGTCAGAAAGAAAAAGACAAATACCGTATGCTAACACTTATATATGGAATTTAAGAAGAAAAAAAAATGTCATGAAGAACCTAGGGGTAAGACAGGAATAAAGACACAGACCTACTGGAGAACGGACTTGAGGATATGGGGAGGGGGAAGGGTGAGCTGTGACAGGGCGAGAGAGAGTCATGGACATATACACACTAACAAACGTAGTAAGGTAGATAGCTAGTGGGAAGCAGCCGCATGGCACAGGGACATCGGCTCGGTGCTTTGTGACAGCCTGGAGGGGTGGGATAGGGAGGGTGGGAGGGAGGGAGACGCAAGAGGGAAGAGATATGGGAACATATGTATATGTATAACTGATTCACTTTGTTATAAAGCAGAAACTAACACACCATTGTAAAGCAATTATACCCCAATAAAGATGTTAAAAATAAATTAAAAAAAAAAAGAAAAAGACACCATGAAGAACATGAACAGGTTAGGCACAGAGTTGTGGAAGATTTTTGTAAATCAAAAGGGCTCTAATACAGAATTTATAATGAACTTACCTATGAAACAGAAACAGACTCACTGATATAGAGAACAGACTTGGCAGTTGCTAAGGGGGAGGGAGCCTGGAAGAGGGATGGATTGGGAGTTTGGGATTAGCAGATGCAAACTATTATATACACAATGGATAAACAACAAGGTCCTACTGTATAGCACAGGGAACTATATTCAATCTCCTGTGATAAACCATAATGGAAAAGAATATGAAAAAGAATGTATATATGTGTATGTATGTGTATATATATATATATGTATAAATGAATCACTTTGCTGTACAGTAGAAATGAACACATTGTAAATCAACTATACTTCAATAAAATTTTTTTAAAAAGCTTTGTTGTTTACCTTTCGTATTTAATAAAAGACTCTGAAAGAGATGAAGTTAAGAGAACCCCAAAATTAGGGACAGAGTTCCAAAACAAATCAACAATAACAAAAACAGGACCCCCCCCCAAAACAACAACAACAACAACAACAAACTAGACAGAGAAGTAGAAGAATCCACTTAGTGCAATGCCATGGAGCCAAAGGACAAGGGAGTTTCAAACTGAAAAGGGAGACCAGCAGTACTCAAATGTTGCAGAGATTAAGAATTTGGCTTGAACAAAGTATGATCTTCAAATGAGAAATTTCAGGAGAGTAACTGACTACACAGAAGTGGAAGGTGAGGAAACTGAGGCAGTAAGTAATGAAAGAAATGGGATGACAGGATCATCCTATTTGAACATGGCAGCCTAAAGTCAGCACTGCCTCCTTTTTCTCCTAGAATCACCTTAAAGTAACAAAAAGAACAAAAGAATGAAAATAGAAACCCCATCTCCAATGAGAGCTGAAAGTGCAAATTACAAAACAGGTGAGAAGGTTTCTAACAGCAAGAGAAATTAAGGCCACATGTTAAGGAGGTGGAGAGAGTTTGCTCATGCATGCAGATTACAGAGAAGGCCTATAAGAGACTCTTCTGGATGAGAGGCATATCCCACGGAAACACTTTGCACAGTGGGAATGGTGTCCTTGAACTACGAGTGGGAGCTTTTCTGGATTAGATTTGGTCTCAAAAAGCAGTGGAGACAAAGAAATAGAACAGGAAAGCCATAGTTGTAGGAATCAGACTGTTCCTGTGAAAACCCAAAAGTTTAAGAGACACGTGAAAGATCTTACCTAGAGACACCACAACTGCTTATCTCCATTGACTGGGAAGAAGTTAAATGCTAAACAAGTCACACGTAAGACTCTCTGGGTCATAAAGAGCATAGTCCTGATCCCTCTCCACTATGAACTTGAGGCAAGTAGCTGGTCTAAAAAACACCTCACTTTCTTTAAAGCAGATAATCAAAATAAATTTGGCAGAGATTTTATACAAAGAAAATATACAAGAAAATATAAGAAAAAACACATGGCAGATGGAGAAATAAAAACCTCATCATTAGAAAAAAACTATCAGATAGCTGAAACAGATATAAAACTACTTAAAAAAAAGGAAGCCA